TGTTGTCTCATACTTTTAGATACGCTGTTATTTGTAAATGCTACTGCTTCTGTTAGCTTTTAATATACAGTTTTATGCTGATTAAATCTTTAATACAGTTCGGCAACCGCACGTGCGTCCATGTATAACGCCTCTCATAGCTATACATGAAAATAAGTGTATTCACTGAGCTGATAATCTGAATGAGAGAGAGAGAGAGAGAGAGAGGGAGAGAGAGAGAGATGCAGAGCCTGTGCAGAGCAGGGGAGGTGAGGAACAGTATTAAGAACAGCTGCTTTAGAACATTCCCAAACTTGTGAATCCATTAGAATCGTTAGAAGACAGAATCGCGATTCATATATGAACAGATTTTTACATGCACCTCTAGTTCTTCACGGCAACCCGTCAAAATAAAAGTTTAGTTTAACATTAAACTGTCAGAATATATTCCTATTTAGCAGTCTGAAGACTCAATGCTACTACTGCTAATAAATAGTAATAAATCTTTATTTTTAAAGGAATAATCACATTTTACTTTTAATTTTAACAGTAAACCTCTGTTGTGCAGCACTTTGTTTGCCAAAAAATAAAAGGATTTAATTTTCATTTGATTAGGATAAATTAAATTAATATTTTATGCCTTCGTCTGATTACCAGAAAAATTAAGAACATTTTATAGGGCCCTATTATTGTTTAAAAAATGACCCATACAAAAAAAAGTATAGGTTTAAAATAAAGGCATGTGGCTTAATTTCTTTTTATTAATTCACCATTTGTTTAACTGATGTTTACTGTTAATTTTTTAGAAATATCAATAGCATTTGTATTAAAACTATATTCACTGAATGTAATAAAAAAAAATCGAGAATCGAATCGAATCAAATCGAGAGCTTGCGAAGCGAAATCGAATCGGGATATCTGAATCGATACCCAGCCCTAACATTGATGTTAAATTACATTTTCTGATTTGTGACATTACTTTTTAAGTAATGCTAAAACACTGCTGGTCACTTTCAGAAGTTATAGTGATTCTTTATTTTCCAAGAAAGAATGTGAAACAAATTGGTTATATAATTTTCATTTTTAAATATTTTAAAATATAATTTAAATTGATTTTACACACTTTAAGCAATACCATATCGCATATCGAATATCACATTTTTTAACAAGGTATCGCATATCGCATATCACATTTTTCTTCAATATCGCACAGCCCTAGTTTGAGCTTTTACTTACTAGTCATATGGTTCATAGCGCCTTAGAGATGTTGTCCGACAGGAGGTCCGCTGGAACTCTGCTGCACGGCCATCAGCATAGACACATATATACAGTATATATACACACACACACACACACACACACACAAAAACAATTTCTTAAAGTAAAAGAATTAACGTTCATGTATTTAGGTTTGTGTCACTCAGGTTTGGATGTCAAAACCTTCCTATAATGAACTGTAATATAACAGATGAATGGTGATATAAGAAAATATGTTGTGAAAAAATGCATATGAATGTATTTAATTGTGGGTTTTAAAATAGAGGAGGCACACTAATTAAAGTTTATTTGTATAGCGCTTTTGACGATTTGAAACTTGAATTGAACTAATTGTATTGGTCTGGGATCCCTGCCGATTATTATTATTATTTGCTTAACCACTTTAAAATGGCTTTTTGGTGAAAGTGAACACTCGATGCTGATTGGCTATTTTTTTTTACCAACGGAGGCACGAGAGCTCATCTCTCCCCCGGCCTCCCCCTACCCTTCTGTATCACCTAGCGGTTGTAATTACATCAGCAGATTCGGCACATTCGCGATAGAAATGCGGCGCTTTCACATTATTTGTGAAATTACAAACAAAAAATACACATTCTGAGACATGAACTGAAATGAATTGTGAATTTTATTAACATTAAATCGTCCTCCCATTTTCACCTCAAAATTATGGGGAAGCTGTGCCTCCCCTGCCTCCCCCAACGAGCCGCCACTTAATTTCTTCTATGCTATGCTTTTTTATACTAAACTTTGCTTTTGTTAAATAACTAGCCTAATAATTTTTTTGTTGAGTCATGCAAAACAGCATTAAAATATATGTAATAGATATAAACGACTGATCAACAGGTCTTTTTTTTTAAATTAGCCTAATAAACCACAACACTATTTATACAACTCAAAATTAATACTTTATATTGCACTATAATTGAACGCAACTAATAGAAAATGAGTCTGGAATGAGTTCTGGACCAGGCAGGACAATTTAGCTCACTTGATCTCACTTTCCAGAAAAAAATATTTACAACATGTTGACTGTGAAGAACCATTAAATAGTCTAAAGAACCTTTCTGTGCCACAAAGAACCTTTTGTGCAATGGAAAGGTTCTTTGGATATTATAGGTTCTTCATGGAACCATACGCCCTGCCAAAGAACCATTTAAGAACCTTTTTTAAGAGTGCAGCCATGTAATAAGTGCAATAATGTCCATTCACCTGGTGTTATTACAAATAACCCTAAAAGGGTGACCAGGACCTGAAGCTAAGCAAAAAGAATGTACATTATATGACCAACAGAATGTATTATCCTGTATGCAATTTTCTGTATGGTGCTGCATGCAATTGTTTGACTGTACTAAAGCATAAAAATACCATAATATGTGTATAATGTATAATATGTGCAGATATTTAGGAAACATGCTAAGTTGACATATGTTTCTCCACGATTCTGTATAATTAATAATCATAATTTTTAGATCACAATTCTCCCACAATTCTGAACAGACTACTAAACAAAATAACATAATCAGGGCTCCAGACTAACATTTGAGTGCAGTGGCGCTGGTGATTTTGTGATGGAGGTAACGGAGAGCCTTGAAACAATTGCTGTTCCTGTTTCATCACTCAAAACAAAATGTGTTTTCATTAAGATTAGGGAAAAGCAGTATGTCATCCCAATTGTCAACACAACTGAAACGTACTGAAAACTTAGTTTAGCGCCTGTTCCTTTGAACAGACTG